TCAATAGCATAAGAAACCGTAGGAACTTCACAAACACATAAAAATTGAACAACACTCTCCTGAACAATCAATGGATCACAGAGGAAATTAAGGAAGAAATCACACAGTTCTGACAAATAAATGAAAATGCCAATACAACATACAGGAATCTATGGGACACAATGAAAGCAGTTCTACATGAAAAATTCATAGGAATGAATGCTCACACTAGGAAAACAGAGCGACATCAAATAAAAAAACCTAACGATGAATCTTGCACTCCTAGAAAAACAAGAGCAAGAAAAACCCAAAGCTTGAACAAGAAAGGAAATTATAAAGATTAGAACAGGAATCAATGCAATAGAAACTAAGAAAATGATACAAAAAATAAATGCATCGAAGAGTTGGTTTTTTTAAAGAATAAATAAAATTGATAAACCCTTAGCTAACCTTATCAAAAAAAGGAAAGAAATGGCACAGATCCATGCAATTAGGAATGAAAAAGGTGAAGTCACAACAGATCCAACAGAAATTCAGAAGATAGTCAATACCTACTTTGAGAACCTATACTCTAATGAAATGGAAAACACAGAAGAAATGGACAGATTTCTAGATACTTATGAATTAAGAAAGTTGAAAAAGGAAGCTAAAAACATTTTAAACAATGCAATCACAATCAGTGAAACTGAAAATGTAATTACAACTTAGCAACAAAGAAAAGCCCAGGTCCTGATGGATTCACTGTTCAATTTTACAAGACATTTAGAGAACTACTGCCTTTACTCTTGAAACTTTTCAATGAAATTGAAAGGGAAGCAATACTTCCAAATTCATTCCTGAAAGCAAGTATCACTTTGATTCCCAAACCAGGGAAAGACAAAACTAAAAAAGAGAACTATAGACCAATCTCCTTAATGAATACAGATGAAAAAATCCTTAATAACATACTAGCAAACAGAATACAGAGGATCATCAAGAAGATCATATATCCTCACCAAGCCGTATTTATTCCAGGGATGCAAGGATGGTGCAACATACGTAAGTCAATAAATGTAATACACTATATTAACAAAGTCAAGGACAAAAAACATATGATCCTCTTGATAGATGCAGAAAAAGCATTTGACAAAATTCAACAGCCATTCATGATAAAAAAAACCCTGCAAAAAATTGGAAAAGATGGTCTATATCTCAATTTAATAAAGGCTATCTATGAAAAACCAACAGCCAACATCATACTAAATGGCCAAAAACTGAAAACTTTCACGTTAAAATCAGGAACAAGACAAGGATGCCCACTATCACCACTCCTCTTCAATATAGTTCTGGAAACATTAGCCATAGCAATTAGACAAGAGAAATAAATTAAAGCAATAGAGATAAGAAAGGTAGAAGTTACACTGTCATTATTTGCTGACTATATGATACTCTACACTAAAGACCCAAACAACTCCACCTAAAGACTTCTAGACTTAATTGACACTTTTAGCAGAGTAGCAGGATACAAGGTCCACACCCAAAAATCAATAGCCTTCTTGTACAAAAATAACAGTGTCGCTGAGAGAAAAATTAGGGAAACAATTCCTTTCACAGTAGCATCCAAAAAAATGAAGTATCTAGGAATCAACCTAATGAAAGAAGCAAAAGACCTCTACACTGAAAATTACAGAACCCTGAAAAAGGGATTGAAGAGGATATAAGAAAATGGAAAGATATCCCTGCCTCCTCAGTAGGAAGAATCAACATAGTGAAAATGGCTATACTACCAAAACTACTGTACAGATTCAATGCAATGCCAATTGAAATTCCAACACTGTATTTCACAGAACTAGAAAACTGAATCCAAAAATTCATTTGGAACCATAAGAGACCTAGAATAGCAAAAGCCAACCTAGGCAACAGAGACACAGTAGCGGGTATAACAATTCCCAATTTGAAACTATACTACAAAGTCACTGTGATAAAAACAGCATGGTACTGGCAAAGAAACAGACCTGATGATCAGTGGAACAGACTGGAAGATACAAAAACAACTCCAGATATACTCAGCTACCTCATTTTTGACAAAGGATCTGACCATCCCCACATGAGGAAAGATGGCCTCTTTAATAAATGGTGTTGGAAAAACTGGATATCAACCTGACAAAGATTAAAAGTAGACCCTTATCTTTTACCATGCACTAAATTAAAATCCAAGTGGATTAAAGATCTAAATATTAAAACAGAAACACTAAACTTACTGGAAGATAAGTTAGGCAGAACTCTTGAAAACACTGGCATAGGAAAAGAGTTTATGAAGAAATCCTCAGTAGCATAGGAACTAGCAGAAAGAATCAACAACTGGGATCTCATCTTTTTTGTGTGTGTGTGTTTTGAGACAGGGTCTCACTATGTAGTTGAGACTGACCTGGAACTCATTGTGTAGCCCAGGAATCTCATCTTATTAAAAAGCTTCTGCACTGCAAAAGAAACCATCAACAGAACTAAAAGACAACCTACAATGTTGGAAAAAATTTTTCCTAGCTGCTCCTCGGACAAAGGATTCTTATCTAGAATATATAAAGAACTCAAAACAATCAGCCCCCCAAATATAAAGACCTGATTCAAAAATGGGCATCTGAAATGAACAGACATTTCTCTGACAAAGAAGAAAAAGCAGAAAGTAAATATGTGAAAAAATATTCAACATCATTGGTATTCGAGAGATGCAGATGAAAACAACACTGCCATTCCCCTTCACCCCAGAAAGAATGGAAGAAAAGGGCTAAAGGTGTAGGGAAAATGGGAATGCTACGGAAAGTTAATAAGGAAAAGAAAAAAATATGAAAAAATGGAAATAAAGTGTTTGTAAATGGGGAGGGGAGTAGGGGGTGAAGGGAGCGCACGGACAAGGGGAAAAAAATGAGAATGAAGACCTGCCATGTAAAGGTACAAGATCCCAGTAATGAACATAATTGTACTGTATACCTAAAATGTACCAATAAACTCAATAAAAGAAAAAAAATTTAAAAAAAGAAATCATACAAATGTTGGTGGGGCTATGGGGAGAAAGGAACCCTTCTCCATAGTTGGTGCGCATGCAGACTGGTGCAACTACTGTGGAAATCAGTATGGAGATACCTCAAAGAAGTAGGACTAGAGGTTCCATTTTACTCAGCTATCCCTCTGCTGAGTATCTTTCTAAAAGAACTAAAAGAATCATATCACAGTTATATATGCACCCCTATTTTTACAGCGGCACAGTTTGTAACAGCTAAAACTTGGAAACAGCCCATTTGCCCATCACTTTGGGACTGGATAAAGAAGATGTGGTTTTTCTCTAAAATGGATTACTACTCAGCCATAAAGAATGAATAATTATAGACATTTATAGCTAAATGATGCACACTGAGACTATATTCTTAAGTGAAAAAAATAGGACACACTTGAGTAAATACCAAATAGTTTCTCTGGTGTGAAAAACTAAAATTGTAAATAAGATTCAAATTGTATAACTGAGTGTGAAATGAAAGAAAAAGGGGAAGTGGGAAGGGTAAGGGAAAGGAAATAAGGGAATAGAAATAATGAAAAAAGAGAAAAATGGAAACAAAGTCTTTATAAATAGGGAAAGGTGAAGGAGGTGAAGAGTGGGCAGGTGTATGGGAAAAAAATAAGAACCAAGACATATCATGTGAAGGTACAAGATCTCAATGATAAATGTAACTGTATTCTTTGCTTCAAATGTACCAATAAACTTAATGGAAAAAATAAATAAAAGAAAGTTTTCTATTTGACACGTAGATCTTTTTCTTAGCCTCAGCTTAAGGAGCAGAGCTCCAGCCAGGATGTGTCTCTGTTCATGCTAGAAATCTAAGGTGGTAGTCCATCCACCCACAGGGGTACAAGGTGTGGAGAAGTTCCAGCGAGAACGTGGCAGCAATGTGAAATTCCAATTCTGTGTAGTTCAGGCTAAACCTGGCTTCTGATCACAGGAGTTTGTTCTGTGTTCACCAGCTACTGTCTATCAGTGGGACTCCTCCCAGTCTCCTTTCCATCTGTTGGCAATCGCTGGTAATTATCCTTTCTTCATCTCCTCTATGAACTTGGGAGTGTGAAGCAGCCAAGGGACTGCTCTCTGTGACCCAGGGTCACTGAGCCATTCCCTACAATGGCATCCCTGCCAGCTCTTGCTCTGCAATTGTAGCTGTGGGTGCTTATATTGAGGTCACTCACCAACTACTATGGAGGGCCATTCTGGAAGCAATGTCCTGTGTTTTTCTTGCTGGCTCCAATTGCAGGTGATTCTTTTGGTCCCAATGCAGTTTAGTGGTTCTCTGTGACCAAAAATGTTGTTAGTTTCACTTTGTCTCCCAGCTGGTGGCTAGCCATCTGCTGTCAGCAGCACTTCGTGGCTTCTCCTCCACAGAGGATTTATTTCTTCTGTATAACTTAATCCTATTTTCTTCTCCTCTGTCAGTTCCATCATGGTTCCCAGGTAACCTCCACTCATGTTGGTTCCTCTCCAAGCTACTGTTTCCAGACTCTAGACACTTTGTCTTGGAGAAACTGAGTTGCTCACATTCACTGCTCCACCATTTTGGAACTCAAATGCCACCACCATGCCTTTTTAAAAGGAATAAAAGCCTTCTAAAGTTTTTTGCTCCTCATGTTAAAATAAATTATATTCCAGAGCTCGATGTATGGTTTGGTGGCAGAGAGCTTACCTCACATGTATAAGGCCCTAGGTTTGGTCCCAAACACTGTAATAAATGAATAAATAATCACATTCCTATATTTTAACATCATTAATATCATTTCCCTATAATGTAAGTTATCAGTAGAGAAGCATCTTGTCTTACTGTTTAAAAAGCTTTTTGTATGATGTCTATGATACTCTACAGTGATCATTTTGTAAATAAATGGTATCTTTAAAAAGAGAGACTATTAAGATATTTGACACTGTAATTTTTATAATGAACACACTGTTTTACTTGTTGCAGTGGGGAAAACAATATAAACAATGAAAGTAGATTATTCCCAACCTTAAAACTTCCTGCAGCTTTCATCCACAGAACATTGTGTAACCAATCTACTAATTCTGTTGTCAGTTGACTTCCTGTTTGGTGACCTGAAAAAACAAACAATATCTCCTAAACTCTGAATGCAAAAATCTAAATCAATTGCATTAAATAAGGAAAGCTAACTTTACCCAGAACTTGTAATTTTTAAGTAATGCCCTTAAAAACAATCTGCTTCAGACAAGTTTTCATCAATTTTAGGTTTACCACCAAAACTGATTATATAATACAATCAGTTTGCTTGAATCACAATCATTCTCCCATCAGTCTGTGATAGATTTCCAGCTGAGTCTCTCTTTAACTTATTTTCCATGTTCCAAATTAGATCATCATCTGGTGCCTTAATACATTTATTGTGAATGAGCAGACAGCAATGCCAGAAATCATTAAGAAGTGTTTATACTATTATGTACTAAATAGATTAGGTCAAATTCACATGAAATTATACCTTAAAGCCTCTGTAAAATACTTTAAGGGTGTACTTACAGATAACCTTTATTAGTTTACATTGTAACTTGTGTCTGATTATTTCTAGCCTAGACATTTACTAGGTGTAAATACATTAGCACATTAAGGTACAGTTTAAATCATAACCGAATTCTGTAACCTCTTCTCTTCTTTCCTTTTGGCACATTCCATTAATTTCCACAAAATTCTCAATTAAGACACTAAGAATCTCATTCTCTACCAAAGGCAGCAAATGTGGTTTGTTCTAATTTTTTAAAAATTCATGAGAGCAAACAGTTACTTAATGTATCTATTTAAAATAATACTTTGATGATATGCATATAATTATATATCACAATACATCTTTGTCAAGTGGAATTTTATAGATGAAAAAACAGTAAGTTTCAAAGATACTGACTTGCCTAAAGCCACACAGCTGATTTGAGATCAAACTGGAAACATGAAATTAGGTTTCTAGCCTCACAATTTTCTACTACACATGAGCTTTAAGCTCAGGAGTTTACCTACATTTTAGGGTGTTTTGAATTTTGCTTAGTATCTCAGTTTAGCTTGCCAAATTTGTGAAATCTGTACAGATAAGGCACTATTGCTAAAGACCATTAGGAGGAAAAGGGATGTGTGAGAAATTTGTGGACCTGATTATTTTGCTATTGTTCTGACATCTATCTTAGAATTAAAGGCAGATTAACGCCTTTTTAAACACCTGCAGAAATCCTACTGACCCATAATGATTTCTTCAATCTTCTCCTTGGCAAGCAGGTCTTCTTTTCTTTGTAAAAGCATGTCAACATAGAGCAATAGAGCTTTCCCAACATTTTCTGATGGCTTAAAATGTTTGCAGATAATCCTCAGGAAATACAACCCAACAGATTCTCTGTTCAAAGAAGCACAACTTTAAACAATGTAAATAGAATAAATGTTTTTTATCAATAGAACTAAAATATTGTGTGAAGAAAACAAGTCAAATAAAAGGATATCTGAGTGTAGGTAATGCTATTACATGTCTAAATAAATTTGTTGGTAAGAAATCATTTAATTTAGTTTCAGTTTAATTAAGCCATAAACATTTTCATGAACACCTACAGTCAGATTCTCTCCCCTCCCTCTCAGACAGGGTCTTGCTATGTAGTTCAGGTTGGCCTTGAACTCAGTATGTAGCTCAGGCTTGCCTCCAACTCATGGCAATCCTGCCGCAGCCTCCCAAATGCTGGAAATGCAGGAGTGCAACATCATGCCTGTCAATCATTTTTCTCTTAATCTCTCTCAGAACTCATGCCAATTTTTAAAAATGGGTAACTGTGCAATCTAGTCAAGTTTCATGAACTTCCATAAGAAATTTATTAGTTCCCTCATTAACAACTCTTTTGAAGTTTAATTACACAAATAATATGTTAGTACCCTTTGAATATTTAAAAACTTTAATGGTTCACAGATTGAAAGATTTAATTTTGTTAAAATTCTAACACTCTCAAGGTAACTACAGATTTAATGCAATCCCTGTTAAAATATTAATGACTTTTTGAAGAAATAAATATATTCTAAAATTAATATGGATCTCAAGGTCTCCCACATAGCTAAAAAATCTTGAAAATGAAGAACAAAGGTGGGGACATCATACTTCCTTATTTCAAACTACACTGCAAAGACAATGATACCTTGTTTCACTAATGCTTTGTACACAAACAACTGGGTTCACAAACAGAAGTGTTTGACAAAATTTTGTTTGTTTACAAACTGCATCCCATGATAATCATGGCCATCTTTCCCATACAAACACACACATGGCCATCTTTTCCACAACTGTAGAGCAAATTAAGTCCATGAACTGAGGTAACACTGTAGTGCGCTACTGAAAAACAAACACATATACCAATGGAACAGAACTCAGAGCCCAGAGAAAAAATTCATATATGGTCAACTAATTTTCAACAAGAGCACCCAGACCACACAATGGAGAAAGGACAGTCTTTTAAATGAATGGCGTTTGAAAAACATGATATATAAAAATCAACCCAACATGCACTAAAGACTTAAATATAATACCTGAAACCATAAAACTCCTAGAAGAATAGATTAGGGAGCAAGCTCCTTGACACTGGTCTTAGCAGTTCTTTTTTTTTTTTTTTTTGGATAGCACACCAAAAGTACAGGGGACAAAAGCAAAAATAAATCAGTGGGACTACATCACACTAAAAAATTTTTGTAGAACAAAATGCAAAGGCAGCACATAAAATGTGAGAAAATATTTGTAGACCATATATTCTGTAAAAAGTTATGTAAGAAACATACAACTCTATGAGTATATCTATATCTATATCCATATAATTTCAGATAGACAAAAAACTATAGTAGATAATTATTCAATGAAGGTTTATAAATAGATGACAAGCATACGAATATGTGCCCAACATCATTAAATATAAAAATGCAAATCAAACCACAATAAAATATTGCCTCATAACTATTAATATCTATTATTAAAAAGTTAAAAGATAAGTGTTGGCAAGGATGTGGGGTAAAGACAACTCTTATGTACTGTTAGTAAGACTAAATTGGTACAACCACTTGGAAATCTGAGGCAGGAAGATAGCAAGTTTGAAGCCAGCATGGGCCACTTCTCAGAACTCTGTCTCAAAATGAAAAAAATAAAATAAAATTTAAATTTAAAAAAGCTAAGAATGCAGCTCAGTATGAAAGCCCTGAATTCAGTCTCCAAAACCTTAAAACAACAACCCCTCAAAATTAGCACGTTGAGCTTATTTGTTTACTAAAAACAAAAACCAAAATCAAATAACGTAAAAACAGCCAGAGTTGTTCTGCCTATAATTTCAGACACTCCAGAGGCTGAGTGAGGAAGGAAGATTGGGAAGGGTAGGGAAAAGGTAATTAGGGAAAAGAAAAAAATATGAGAAAATGAAAAAATGGAAACAAAGTATTTGTAAACAGGGAGGGGAGGAGGGGATGAAGGGAGGGCAGGGACAAGGAGAAAAATGAGAACCAAGACCTGTCATGTAAAGGTACAAGATCCCAGTAATGAATGTAACTGTACTGTATACCTAAAATGTACCAATAAACTCAATTAAAAAAATAGAAATGTTTTAGCAACTTATACCCTTTTAGTTGTAATATAAAACATATTACACTACATTTATTTTGAGATACAGTTTACAACCAAATCAGTTTTAACATACATACACTGGCACTTTAACACAAGAGCAAAGTTCAAGAACAATTGTGGACCAATTTGCTCATCAACAGGAGACTGGATAAATAAGAAAAATTTGTATATAAAGTGGAGTGCTACTAAACCATAAAGAATGAGAAATTAGAGACATTTATAGCTAAATGGATGCACAATGAGGCCATACTCTTAAGTGAAATAAAGAGAATGCATATGTGCAAATACTGAATATTTTCTCTAGTGTGAGAAACTGAAAGTGTAAATAAGGAATAAAAGGTAAAATAGATAATGTGAAATAGAAAGAAAAGGTGCAAAGGGGAAGGGGAAGTGGGAGTGGTAGGGGAAAAGAAAGATGGGAATGGAATTAACATGAGAAAAAATGGAAACAAAGTATAGACAGCGTGGGGTGGGAGGTCTTAAAGTGAGGACAGGAGGATGGAGAAAAAATAAGAACCAAGACGTATTATGTAAAGATACAAATTTCCAATGATGAATGTATTACATTGTATACCTTAAATGTACCAATAAAATTAATTAATTTAAAAAAACAGTTGTGGGACTCTAAAATTAGTCCACAGTATAACAGTCTATGGTCTTACATTCAGCAATTTCATACTAAAAATTTTTGTAGGATAAAAGCCAAGAAAACTTTACATATGCTAAAAGTTTATTACATGTATTTACATGGCTCTTTTTCCCTATGTACTTAAATTTTTCACAATACATCACTCCCTACTTTAAGCTTTGCAGGGATAAGTCCAGATCGCTGTCAGCTTGTGTGGTGCTGGAATACAAAAATGTACTTAGAAAGTTACAAAAAGTTCTGGTGCACCTATTGGCAGATGCCTGTTCAGTTTGTTGTTGTTGTTTGATTTTTAAAGAGCCACCAGAGTATTTGTACCTCATTCTAATAAGTCCCAAGTGCCCTTACTACAATTTAGTGAAATGCAGCTATTTAAGAAAATCCACATTAAGTTGTTGGAATGTTTCATATTCCTGAGACAAACTTTCACGTGTCTGCCTGGATTTCCAACTTGTGTCAAATAGATGCGTATAATTTGAATCACTTAAAGTCTGAACCATGAACATTAAATTATTATTTTCCCCACTAAAAAATAAAAAAGTTGATTTATCAAATCTAAACTTGAGTCATTTCACTTGTTACCTAATTCAGAACATCATCAATTATTCTGTTAGATTGATACTACCATGACATCACAGTACACACAACACATAAAACAAATGAAATGAAGTCTGATTATAATTTCACATTATCAGTTTTACACAAATAATTCTAGTGAATTTCAGACCAATTAACAACTATTTGTAAATATATCTAAATTTAAACATCTTTATATATAGACTTTAAGTAAGGTTTTAAGTTGAAATGTCAGTATATCCTTAACTGAAGGGTTAAAGGAAAACAGAAACCCAGTGGCTCGGTGGTTTGCAGAGCACACTTGGTGATGGTGGCTCACAAAATTTGGCTCCAGCAAAGTTCTGACTAGCTTGAGACTTAAAAAGCAAGCTGGAATTTGATAAACTAGAGTTCCAATTTGGATTATTTGGAAAGTTCTTGTTCTTCCCCCCATTCTGCATGGCTTTCCATGCAGCTGCTGAGGAGTTATAAGCATGTCCTCTTTCTTTTTTCTTATGAACAATCTTCATCTGGGAATTCTGATCCTTGGTTTTCTGTCTATTAAGCTGTTGTTGATTCTTAGTAACATTTCTAAATTGAGGGTCTGGAATATTATACCTCTCTCCACTGCACATCTTCAGCTTCTTTGTCACCTTTCAGTCAGCTTTTCATATTGCAGTATCTCCACCACTTTTCTTCCTTGCTGCCAAGCCCAATATAATGGGTACTGCTTTCTGGTAGGTTCTTTCCTTTGTCTCAATGCAGAAGTTTTCATGGACCGGTCTGCTGAGTTCAGCCCAAAAACTGAGGCTAACATCTGGGTCTCCTCAGCACACAAGTTTGAGAGGAGTCGCAATGACTTCAGCTTAGACCGTGGCAGCAGCTCCCTCTCGACATCAAAGCCTCCCTCACTTTCCAGGGAGTGAAGAGGTGCAGATCGAACAAAGCGCATGAGCACCAATGATTCAGGTGCAGACCACCCTTGCATGTCTGGAGGTTATTGTCTTTTAGGGATTGAAATACTTTGTTCGAGGCTCTCCTTGACTTCAGTGTTTGTGTTGAAAGTCCGCTGTGATTCTGATGGGCTTTCCTTTGTATGTGATCTGTTTCTTTTCTCTAACAGCTTGTAATATTTTGTTCTTCTGTTGGGTTTCTGGGATCTTGACTAATTATGTCTAGGTGTAGATCTTTTTTTAAATCCTGCCTAATTGGCATCGTATATGCCTCACTTATCTATATGTCAAATTCTTTCCCTCTGGTTGGGAAGTTTTCTGTCACTAATTCTGTGAACAGGTTTTTGGTCATTTGTACTTTCTTCTGCATTTTTGTGGACTCCTATTGGTCTTACATTATTCTTCTTTGCATCATCTAGCAGCTGCTAGATCGATTTCTCATTGTCCCTTACTATTTTTAAGAAATCTCTTTTCATGGTTACTAACTGCAATCCTGTCTTCTATGTCTGATATTTATCTTCACATTTGCTCAATCTATTGGGAATACTTTCAATGAAGTTTTTAATCTCTTGGATATCTGTTTGAATCTGTTTCATGAATTCCATTTCTTTCCTATGCTTGGCTTCCATCATAGTCCTGACCTCATTTTTTAAAATCTGTTTCTGTTCTAGAGTCTCTAATCATGTCTTTCATTCTGCTCACCATCTCTGTAGTTATCTAGGAAATTATTTGTTTTGAGTTTTCTAGAGCCTCATTCATTTGTTCTGTTACTTCCTGTGCTATCAGTTTAGGGTATCCAGGTGATTATCAGATTTTTCTACCTCATTTCCCCCAGAATTTGCCTTTGGTGAACTGGAATTCTGGATTTGCACCTTGCTTAAGTGTCTTCTCATTTTTATTCACTTCAGTGTTTTAATCTGTCTCTGGAATGACATGGTAAGCACATCTTCCTATGTGTTTAAGAGTATATTTTTATTTATGCTATTATAAAATACTTTTAAGTGGAGGAAATTAAAAATTGCTATATGTGAGGCAATAGAAATGTTAATTAGCTTAATTGTAGTAATTATTTCACGACATACATATATCTCAAAACATGATAAATATATATACTTTTGTCAATTATAGCCAATAAAAATGTCAATAATTTAAAATGAATTTAAATGATCTCACCATTAAATAGTGATAAATATTTGAGGAGACAGACATGTTCAACATGATTACATAGTGTATACCTATATAAAAGCATCATGTGGTACTCCATTAAGCGTACAATGCTTACATTTTTATGAATCAGTTTAAAAACAAATTTATTTAAACTAATTTTTACTAAAAGACTGAGTTACAGAATTCATTCTCTTCTTAATTTCTTTCTATTTCTATTATTCTGAGTTATTTGACTTATATAATAAAGGAGGGAAGGTATTATCTGTTGGCAAATCATAGTCAACTCTGCATTCACTATTAGATATACTTACTAGAGATATACAGAAATACATAAGACGTGGATATGTCATTAAGACACATACTTTATAGATTCAAGCTAAAACAATTAACTGGAATAAAAGGAAAATTGTACTAAAAGCAATCTAGAATTCAGATGATTCTGGCACTAGCCACTATATGACTGTAACCATATGAGACTTCAAGTAACAACCACCCAAGTTGAGCCCAATCAATCCATAGAACTATGAGAAAATAATACATTAGTGATACAAAGCACTAAGTTTTAAGATGGTTTGTTACCCATATAAAAAAATATATCCTAAAAGCAATTCACCTGCCACATGTGCAATCATGACAGAAAGGAGAAACCTCCAGCTAGTCAGATAACGGGATCTGTTTGTTATGATGAATTTCATCATTTCCCACCTGACTGTTGCTACATATATCTTCACAATCTTGGTTATGAAAGACCGTTCTAGATGTGATACAAAATCCACAAATCATATTTATAAAAATGGGAAGGGGATCAAGAGATAGAGGGAGGAGGAAGGAAGGAGATAGCAAAAGTATTAAAAAGGAATTAAGATGTGCTATGAATATGTATCAACTCCACACAAGGAATGAAACCATAAGGCACTGCAAACATTAATAAATTTAAAATAATATGTTCTTTTAGAAATCCACAAGTCATAAAAGATCAAAAATATAATCATATCAAAAATTTATTAAACTTGTACTTTTAAAATAAAGTTTCAAGGGGCTGGGGATTTAGCTCAGTGGTTCTGCTGCCTGCCTTGCAAGGGCAAGGTCCCGAGTTTGGTCCCCAATACCAAAAATACATAAATAAATAAATAAAATAAAATAAAATAAAATAAGGTTTCAAAATATGCACAAGAAAATCCCCATGGTCCATATTTCCTCTTTACTTATGCATAACTATAGGACAATATCAAAGTGAGAAATGATATTGGTACAAGGTATGTATACAGTTCTGCATTATTTTGTCACATACGCAGGTTGATTTAAACACTGCTGTAAGCAAAATACAAAACTGCCCCATCACCACAAAAATATTCTCCATGATAGTCATTTATTTTCCTTCCACCGCCATCCTTCTCTCTGCCATCATTAATCCCTCGCAACTAATAATCTGTTCTCCATCTCTACAATTTCATTATTTCAAAAATGTCACATACAATATATGACCATTTGGGAATGGCTTTCTTCATTCAGCATCCCTGTCGAATTTTAACATCTCTATAGAGTGACAGACTAGGGAGAATATTTGCAATACATATAACAGAAAAAGCTCATTCTAGCATTGTACATATATTAAAATACTTAGTCCTCACAGCAACCTTATGAGTCAATACTTTAGTATCTCGATTATAAAGATGAGGAAACTGAGGTATAAAAAAGCTAAAAATTTGCCTAGAGTCACACAGCTACTTGATGGTGGAGCAAGAATTCAAATTCAAGCAGCATATTTATAACCACAACACTCAACGAATAATCAAAAAGCTAATGCTGTGTTTGTAGATGGGGAGGGGAGGAGGGGGAGAAGGGAGGGCAGAGGTAAGGGGAAAAAAATGAGAATCAAGACTTGCCATGTAAAGGTACATGATCCCAACAATGAATGTAACTGTACTGTATCCCTAAATGTACCAATAAACTCAATTAAAAAAAAAAAATACTTGGAAACAGCCTATTTGCCCATCACTTGGAAACTGGATAAAGAAGATGTGGTTTTTCTATAAAATGGAATATTACTCAGCCATAAAGAATGAGAAAATAGATTCATTCATAGGAAAATGGATACATATTGAAGATATACTCCTAAGTAAAGCCATATCCTCTACATATTTTTATGTATGATTATGTGTAATCCTAACAATAACCCTATAAAGTAGTCAATATCATCACTCGTATTACAGATGAAGAAAAGAACAGATGAGGAAAGTGACAGTCAAGCAGCCTACCAAATAGTAAGGACAATGTTGAATTTGAACACAGGCCTCCTGATCCTATAGCCAGTGCTCCCTCCCTAGCAGGATACTACTTCTAATCTATGTTACTTTAAGCTATAAAGTGAACTTTCTCAATTGTGCCCCCTCTTTAACCTTCTGAATCCCTCCCTCCCTATGGGATCCTTGTTTTCTCTGGCTTTAGACATCCATGGATCTCCTTACTGGTGGTAGTGGGGTGGTAGTTGATCCATTTACCATTTTATTGTTTTTTCCATTTAATTACCAAAACATTTACAATGATGACTTACAATAACTACTTCCACTTCCTAACATCCCATTATCCCTTACATTTCTCCTGTCTGTCCCATATTCTCCTTCAGAAATACAGTATAGATGTCTCCTGGCAGCTATGGCAGATTGGCTCTAGGACATTCCACCCAATATCAAAATGTTCAAGTCCCTTATGTAAAATGACATGGTATTTGTATATATCCATCACGCACCCTCCTACGTACACTAAATAATCTCTAATTACTATAAGACCTAATTCTATGTAAATAGTTGTCATTCTATATTGTTTAGGGAACAATAACAAGAAAAACAAATCTGTACATGTTCGGTACAGACATATTTTTTTCAAACATTTTTGATACTTTGGATTGAATCCACAGATGTCATGGATACAAGGGCCAACTAACTGTGTAGCATTGAGATTAAGAGTACAGGATCTGAAGTTGACCAGCCTGGGTACAGATACTTGCTCCACTACTTACTAGCTCTGTAAACTAAGGCAAATTTCTTACCCTCACCATCTGTGTAATGTGGAAGGGGTTAATGGTACCTACCTCACACTGTGTTTTTGAATGGTTAAATACTATATAAGTTGAAAGCCTTTAGAATAGTGCTTGGCACAACATAAACATTCAACAATTGATAGTTTTATAAAAATAATGAAAATCACTACTAAGTCTAATATTCAACATCATACTTTCTCAATCTTCTTCTTTATCATTCAAATATATTCTATATTTACTACCATCATTTCCAGGACACTGCATCATCTTGGGTCACTTGCAACCCATTTACCTTCTCCACCTGCCTGCCTGCCTGTCCTTATTACCCACCCATCACCAGTTACAATTCCTTCTGATTCTTCCTTCATAATTTTTTTACTTTTATCATTTCCTATTCTAGAATCTCTGGCTTCATTGTGGAAATGTAAAAAAAAATTTAAAAGATAGGTCCTGAAGATAGTGAAAAGCTGGCAGG